CAGTGGTCGCATTGATTTGATTTTTGGTTTGCTTGTAGGGCGCTGGCATCCACATTCAGTGACCCAGAAAATGTGGCACTGCTGTGAATAGTTAAGTCGCAAAGTGAAGATTCACGGGTAAAAAGCCCCAAACTGTGAGATTCGTTATTTTTCAGCTTTCAGCAGCCCTGGGCAAGTTCTTTAGAGAAATGTGGCTCTTTTTCTTGGTTCACTTGTCTATGTCCAGCTGCACAACAAGATGAGGCTGGTCATTGTCATTTTCTGAGCTGTGAACGGGCAGGAAGGTGAGAAAATGTCGGATTTTGACCATTTGTGCTGACCTTTGAATTTCAATGTACCTCTCTATAACATGACCCAGCTGTAATGTCAGTTGTCGCATTGATTTGATTTTTGGTTTGCTTGTAGGGCGCTGGCACCCACATTCAGTGACCCAAAAAATTTGGCACTGCTGTGAATAGTCTAGTCGCAAAGTGAAGATTCCCGGGTAAAAAGCCCCAAACTGTGAGATTGGTTAATTTTCAGCTTTCAGCAGCCCTGGGCAAGTTCTTTAGAGAAATGTGGCTCTTTTTCTTGGTGCACTTGTCTATGTCCAGCTGCACAACAAGATGAGGCTGGTCATTGTCATTTTCTGAGCTGTGAACGGGCAGGAAGGTGAGAAAATGTCGGATTTTGACCATTTGTGCTGACCTTTGAATTTCAATGTACCTCTCTATAACATGACCCAGCTGTAATGTCAGTGGTCGCATTGATTTGATTTTTGGTTTGCTTGTAGCGCGCTGGCATCCACATTCAGTGACTCAGAAAATGTGGCACTGCTGTGAATAGTTTAGTCGCAAAGTGAAGATTCACGGGTAAAAACTGCGGCCCCAAACTGTGAGATTGGTTATTTTTCAGCTTTCAGCAGCCCTGGGCAAGTTCTTTAGAGAAATGTGGCTCTTTTTCTTGGTTCACTTGTCTATGTCCAGCTGCACAACAAGATGAGGCTGGTCATTGTCATTTTCTGAGCTGTGAACGGGCAGGAAGGTGAGAAAATGTCGGATTTTGACCATTTGTGCTGACCTTTGAATTTCAATGTACCTCTCTATAACATGACCCAGCTGTAATGTCAGTGGTCGCATTGATTTGATTTTTGGTTTGCTTGTAGGGCGCTGGCATCCACATTCAGTGACCCAGAAAATGTGGCACTGCTGTGAATAGTTAAGTCGCAAAGTGAAGATTCACGGGTAAAAAGCCCCAAACTGTGAGATTCGTTATTTTTCAGCTTTCAGCAGCCCTGGGCAAGTTCTTTAGAGAAATGTGGCTCTTTTTCTTGGTTCACTTGTCTATGTCCAGCTGCACAACAAGATGAGGCTGGTCATTGTCATTTTCTGAGCTGTGAACGGGCAGGAAGGTGAGAAAATGTCGGATTTTGACCATTTGTGCTGACCTTTGAATTTCAATGTACCTCTCTATAACATGACCCAGCTGTAATGGCAGTGGTCGTATAGATTTGATTTTTGGTTTGCTTCTAGGGCGCTGGCACCCACATTCAGTGACCCAAAAACTTTGGCACTGCTGTGAATAGTTTAGCCGCAAAGTGAAGATTCACGGGTAAAAAGCCCCAAAGTGTGAGATTGGTTATTTTTCAGCTTTCAGCAGCCCTGGGCAAGTTCTTTAGAGAAATGTGGCTCTTTTTCTTGGTGCACTTGACTATGTCCAGCTGCACAACAAGATGAGGCTGGTCATTGTCATTTTCTGAGCTGTGAACGGGCAGGAAGGTGAGAAAATGTCGGATTTTGACCATTTGTGCTGACCTTTGAATTTCAATGTACCTCTCTATAACATGACCCAGCTGTAATGTCAGTGGTAGCATTGATTTGATTTTTGGTTTGCTTGTAGGGCGCTGGCACCCACATTCAGTGACCCAAAACATTTGGCACTGTTGTGAATAGTTTAGTCGCAAAGTGAAGATTCACGGGTAAAAAGCCCCAAACTGTGAGATTGGTTATTTTTCAGCTTTCAGCAGCCCTGGGCAAGTTCTTTAGAGAAATGTGGCTCTTTTTCTTGGTTTACTTGTCTATGTCCAGCTGCACAACAAGATGAGGCTGGTCATTGTCATTTTCTGAGCTGTGAACGGGCAGGAAGGTGAGAAAATGTCGGATTTTGACCATTTGTGCTGACCTTTGAATTTCAATGTACCTCTCTATAACATGACCCAGCTGTAATGTCAGTTGTCGCATTGATTTGATTTTTGGTTTGCTTGTAGGGCGCTGGCACCCACATTCAGTGACCCAAAAAATTTGGCACTGCTGTGAATAGTTTAGTCGCAAAGTGAACATTCACGGGTAAAAAGCCCCAAAGTGTGAGATTTGTTATTTTTCAGCTTTCAGCAGCCCTGGGCAAGTTCTTTAGAGAAATGTGGCTATTTTTCTTGGTGCACTTGTCTATGTCCAGCTGCACAACAAGATGAGGCTGGTCATTGTCATTTTCTGAGCTGTGAACGGGCAGGAAGGTGAGAAAATGTCGGATTTTGACCATTTGTGCTGACCTTTGAATTTCAATGTACCTCTCTATAACATGACCCAGCTGTAATGTCAGTGGTCGCATTGATTTGATTTTCGGTTTGCTTGTAGGGCGCTGGCACCCACATTTAGTGACCCCAAAAATTTGGCACTGCTGTGAATAGTTTAGTCGCAAAGTGAAGATTCACGGGTAAAAAGCCCCAAACTGTGAGATTGGTTATTTTTCAGCTTTCAGCAGCCCTGGGCAAGTTCTTTAGAGAAATGTGGCTCTTTTTCTTGGTTCACTTGTCTATGTCCAGCTGCACAACGAGATGAGGCTGGTCATTGTCATTTTCTGAGCTGTGAACGGGCAGGAAGGTGAGAAAATGTCGGATTTTGACCATTTGTGCTGACCTTTGAATTTCAATGTACCTCTCTATAACATGACCCAGCTGTAATGTCAGTGGTCGCATTGATTTGATTTTTAGTTTGCTTGTAGGGCGCTGGCATCCACATTCAGTGACCCAGAAAATGTGGCACTGCTGTGAATAGTTTAGTCGCAAAGTGAAGATTTACGGGTAAAAAGCCCCAAACTGTGAGATTGGTTATTTTTCAGCTTTCAGCAGCCCTGGGCAAGTTCTTTAGAGAAATGTGGCTCTTTTTCTTGGTTCACTTGTCTATGTCCAGCTGCACAACAAGATGAGGCTGGTCATTGTCATTTTCTGAGCTGTGAACGGGCAGGAAGGTGAGAAAATGTCGGATTTTGACCATTTGTGCTGACCTTTGAATTTCAATGTACCTCTCTATAACATGACCCAGCTGTAATGTCAGTGGTCGCATTGATTTGATTTTCGGTTTGCTTGTAGGGCGCTGGCACCCACATTTAGTGACCCCAAAAATTTGGCACTGCTGTGAATAGTTTAGTCGCAAAGTGAAGATTCACGGGTAAAAAGCCCCAAACTGTGAGATTGGTTATTTTTCAGCTTTCAGCAGCCCTGGGCAAGTTCTTTAGAGAAATGTGGCTCTTTTTCTTGGTTCACTTGTCTATGTCCAGCTGCACAACGAGATGAGGCTGGTCATTGTCATTTTCTGAGCTGTGAACGGGCAGGAAGGTGAGAAAATGTCGGATTTTGACCATTTGTGCTGACCTTTGAATTTCAATGTACCTCTCTATAACATGACCCAGCTGTAATGTCAGTGGTCGCATTGATTTGATTTTTAGTTTGCTTGTAGGGCGCTGGCATCCACATTCAGTGACCCAGAAAATGTGGCACTGCTGTGAATAGTTTAGTCGCAAAGTGAAGATTTACGGGTAAAAAGCCCCAAACTGTGAGATTGGTTATTTTTCAGCTTTCAGCAGCCCTGGGCAAGTTCTTTAGAGAAATGTGGCTCTTTTTCTTGGTTCACTTGTCTATGTCCAGCTGCACAACGAGATGAGGCTGGTCATTGTCATTTTCTGAGCTGTGAACGGGCAGGAGGGTGAGAAAATGTCGGATTTTGACCATTTGTGCTGACCTTTGAATTTCAATGTACCTCTCTATAACATTACCCAGCTGTAATGTCAGTGATCGCATTGATTTGATTTTTGGTTTGCTTGTAGGGCGCTGGCACGCACATTCAGTGACCCAATAAATTTGGCACTGCTGTGAATAGTTTAGTCGCAAAGTGAAGATTCCCGGGTAAAAAGCCCCAAACTGTGAGATTGGTTATTTTTCAGCTTTCAGCAGCCCTGGGCAAGTTCTTTAGAGAAATGTGGCTCTTTTTCTTGGTGCACTTGTCTATGTCCAGCTGCACAATGAGATGAGGCTGGTCAGTGTCATTTTCTGAGCTGTGAACGGGCAGGAAGGTGAGAAAATGTCGGATTTTGACCATTTGTGCTGACCTTTGAATTTCAATGTACCTCTCTATAACATGACCCAGCTGTAATGTCAGTGGTCGCATTGATTTGATTTTTGGTTTGCTTGTAGGGCGCTGGCATCCACATTCAGTGACCCAGAAAATGTGGCACTGCTGTGAATAGTTTAGTCGCAAAGTGAAGATTCACGTGTAAAAAGCCCCAAACTGTGAGATTGGTTATTTTTCAGCTTTCAGCAGCCCTGGGCAAGTTTTTTAGAGAAATGTGGCTCTATTTCTTGGTTCACTTGTCTATGTCCAGCTGCACAACAAGATGAGGCTGGTCATTGTCATTTTCTGAGCTGTGAACGGGCAGGAAGGTGAGAAAATGTCGGATTTTGACCATTTGTGCTGACCTTTGAATTTCAATGTACCTCTCTATAACATGACCCAGCTGTAATGTCAGTGATCGCATTGATTTGATTTTTGGTTTGCTTGTAGGGCGCTGGCACGCACATTCAGTGACCCAATAAATTTGGCACTGCTGTGAATAGTTTAGTCGCAAAGTGAAGATTCCCGGGTAAAAAGCCCCAAACTGTGAGATTGGTTATTTTTCAGCTTTCAGCAGCCCTGGGCGAAATTCTTTAGAGAAATGTGGCTCTTTTTCTTGGTGCACTTGTCTATGTCCAGCTGCACAACGAGATGAGGCTGGTCATTGTCATTTTCTGAGCTGTGAACGGGCAGGAAGGTGAGAAAATGTCGGATTTTGACCATTTGTGCTGACCTTTGAATTTCAATGTACCTCTCTATAACATGACCCAGCTGTAATGTCAGTGGTCGCATTGATTTGATTTTTTGTTTGCTTGTAGGGCGCTGGCACCCACATTTAGTGATTCCAAAAATTTGGCACTGCTGTGAATAGTTTAGTCGCAAAGTGAAGATTCACGGGTAAAAAGCCCCAAACTGTGAGATTGGTTATTTTTCAGCTTTCAGCAGCCCTGGGCAAGTTCTTTAGAGAAATGTGGCTCTATTTCTTGGTTCACTTGTCTATGTCCAGCTGCACAACAAGATGAGGCTGGTCATTGTCATTTTCTGAGCTGTGAACGGGCAGGAAGGTGAGAAAATGTCGGATTTTGACCATTTGTGCTGACCTTTGAATTTCAATGTACCTCTCTATAACATGACCCAGCTGTAATGGCAGTGGTCGCATAGATTTGATTTTTGGTTTGCTTCTAGGGCGCTGGCACCCACATTCAGTGACCCAAAAAAATTGGCACTGCTGTGAATAGTTTAGCCGCAAAGTGAAGATTCACGGGTAAAAAGCCCCAAAGTGTGAGATTGGTTATTTTTCAGCTTTCAGCAGCCCTGGGCAAGTTCTTTAGAGAAATGTGGCTCTTTTTCTTGGTGCACTTGTCTATGTCCAGCTGCACAACGGGATGAGGCTGGTCATTGTCATTTTCTGAGCTGTGAACGGGCAGGAAGGTGAGAAAATGTCGGATTTTGACCATTTGTGCTGACCTTTGAATTTCAATGTACCTCTCTATAACATGACCCAGCTGTAATGTCAGTGGTAGCATTGATTTTATTGTTGGTTTGCTTGTAGGGCGCTGGCACCCACATTCAGTGACCCAAAAAATGTGGCACTGCTGTGAATAGTTTAGTCGCAAAGTGAAGATTCACGGGTAAAAAGCCCCAAACTGTGAGATTGGTTATTTTTCAGCTTTCAGCAGCCCTGGGCAAGTTCTTTAGAGAAATGTGGCTCTTTTTCTTGGTGCATTTGTCTATGTCCAGCTGCACAACGAGATGAGGCTGGTCATTGTCATTTTCTGAGCTGTGAACGGGCAGGAAGGTGAGAAAATGTCGGATTTTGACCATTTGTGCTGACCTTTGAATTTCAATGTACCTCTCTATAACATGACCCAGCTGTAATGGCAGTGGTCGTATAGATTTGATTTTTGGTTTGCTTCTAGGGCGCTGGCACCCACATTCAGTGACCCAAAAAATTTGGCACTGCTGTGAATAGTTTAGCCGCAAAGTGAAGATTCACGGGTAAAAAGCCCCAAAGTGTGAGTGGGTGCCAGTGGGTGCCAGCGCCCTACAAGCAAACCAAAAATCAAATCAATGCGACCACTGACATTACAGCTGGGTCATGTTATAGAGAGGTACATTGAAATTCAAAGGTCAGCACAAATGGTCAAAATCCGACATTTTCTCACCTTCCTGCCCGTTCACAGCCCAGAAAATGACAATGACTAGCCTCATCTCGTTGTGCAGCTGGACATAGACAAGTGCACCAAGAAAAGAAGCCACATTTCTCTAAAGAATTTGCCCAGGGCTGCTGAAAGCTGAAAAATAACCAATCTCACAGTTTGGGGCTTTTTACCCGTCAATCTTCACTTTGCGACTAAACTATTCACAGCAGTGCCACATTTTTTGGGTCACTGAATGTGGGTGCCAGCGCCCTACAAGCAAACCAAAAATCAAATCAATGCGACCACTGACATTACAGCTGGGTCATGTTATAGAGAGGTACATTGAAATTCAAAGGTCAGCACAAATGGTCAAAATCCGACATTTTCTCACCTTCCTGCCCGTTCACAGCCCAGAAAATGACAATGACTAGCCTCATCTCGTTGTGCAGGTGGACATAGACAAGTGCACCAAGAAAAAGAGCCACATTTCTCTAAAGAATTTGCCCAGGGCTGCTGAAAGCTGAAAAATAACCAATCTCACAGTTTGGGGCTTTTTACCCGTGAATCTTCACTTTGCGACTAAACTATTCACAGCAGTGCCAAATTTTTTGGGTCACTGAATGCCGGTGCCAGCGCCCTACAAGCAAACCAAAAATCAAATCAATGCGGGTACTGACATTACAGCTGGGTCATGTTATAGAGAGGTACATTTAAATTCAAAGGTCAGCACAAATGGTCAAAATCCGACATTTTCTCACCTTCCTGCCCGTTCACAGCTCAGAAAATGACAATGACCAGCCTCATCTCGTTGTGCAGCTGGACATAGACAAGTGCACCAAGAAAAAGAGCCACATTTCTCTAAAGAACTTGCCCAGGGCTGCTGAAAGCTGAAAATAACCAATCTCACAGTTTGGGGCTTTTTACCCGTGAATCTTCACTTTGCGACTAAACTATTCACAGCAGTGCCACATTCTCTGTGTCACTGAATGTGGATGCCAGCGCCCTACAAGCAAACCAAAAATCAAATCAATGCGACCACTGACATTACAGCTGGGTCATGTTATAGAGAGGTGCATTGAAATTCAATGGTCAGCACAAATGGTCAAAATCCGACATTTTCTCACCTTCCTGCCCGTTCACAGCTCAGAAAATGACAATGACCAGCCTCATCTCGTTGTGCAGCTGGACATAGACAAGTGCACCAAGAAAAAGAGCCACATTTCTCTAAAGAACTTGCCCAGGGCTGCTGAAAGCTGAAAAATAACCAATCTCACAGTTTGGGGCTTTTTACCCGTGAATCTTCACTTTGCGACTAAACTATTCACAGCAGTGCCACATTTTTTGGGTCACTGAATGTGGGTGCCAGCGCCCTACAAGCAAACCAAAAATCAAATCAATGCGACCACTGACATTACAGCTGGGTCATGTTATAGAGAGGTACATTGAAATTCAAAGGGCAGCGCAAGTGGTCAAAATCCGACATTTTCTCACCTTCCTGCCCGTTCACAGCTCAGAAAATGACAACGACCAGCCTCATCTCGTTGTGCAGCTGGACATAGACAAGTGCACCAAGAAAAAGAGCCACATTTCTCTAAAGAATTTGCCCAGGGCTGCTGAAAGCTGAAAATAACCAATCTCACAGTTTGGGGCTTTTTACCCGTGAATCTTCACTTTGCGACTAAACTATTCACAGCAGTGCCACATTTTCTGCGTCACTGAATGTGGGTGCCAGCGCCCTACAAGCAAACCAAAAATCAAATCAATGCGACCACTGACATTACAGCTGGGTCATGTTATAGAGAGGTACATTGAAATTGAAAGGTCAGCACAAATGGTCAAAATCCGACATTTTCTCACCTTCCTGCCTGTTCACAGCCCAGAAAATGACAATGCCTAGCCTCATCTCGTTGTGCAGGTGGACATAGACAAGTGCACCAAGAAAAAGAGCCACATTTCTCTAAAGAATTTGCCCAGGGCTGCTGAAAGCTGAAAAATAACCAATCTCACAGTTTGGGGCTTTTTACCCGTGAATCTTCACTTTGCGACTAAACTATTCACAGCAGTGCCACATTCTCTGGGTCACTGAATGTGGATGCCAGCGCCCTACAAGCAAACCAAAAATCAAATCAATGCGACCACTGCCATTACAGCTGGGTCATGTTATAGAGAGGTACATTGAAATTCAAAGGTCAGCACAAATGGTCAAAATCCGACATTTTCTCACCTTCCTGCCCGTTCACAGCTCAGAAAATGACAATGACCAGCCTCATCTCGTTGTGCAGCTGGACATAGACAAGTGCACCAAGAAATAGAGCCACATTTCTCTAAAGAACTTGCCCAGGGCTGCTGAAAGCTGAAAATAACCAATCTCACAGTTTGGGGCTTTTTACCCGTGAATCTTCACTTTGCGACTAAACTATTCACAGCAGTGCCACATTCTCTGGGTCACTGAATGTGGATGCCAGCGCCGTACAAGCAAACCAAAAATCAAATCAATGCGACCACTGACATTACAGCTGGGTCATGTTATAGAGAGGTACATTGAAATTCAATGGTCAGCACAAATGGTCAAAATCCGACATTTTGTCACCTTCCTGCCCGTTCCCAGCTCAGAAAATGACAATGACCAGCCTCATCTCGTTGTGCAGCTGGACATAGACAAGTGCACCAAGAAAAAGAGCCACATTTCTCTAAAGAACTTGCCCAGCGCTGCTGAAAGCTGAAAAATAACCAATCTCACAGTTTGGGGCTTTTTACCCGTGAATCTTCACTTTGCGACTAAACTATTCACAGCAGTGCCAAATTTTTTGGGTCACTGAATGTGGGTGCCAGCGCCCTACAAGCAAACCAAAAATCAAATCAATGCGACCACTGACATTACAGCTGGGTCATGTTATAGAGAGGTACATTGAAATTCAAAGGTCAGCACAAATGGTCAAAATCCGACATTTTCTCACCTTCCTGCCCGTTCACAGCCCAGAAAATGACAATGACTAGCCTCATCTCGTTGTGCCGCTGGACATAGACAAGTGCACCAAGAAAAGAAGCCACATTTCTCTAAAGAATTTGCCCAGGGCTGCTGAAAGCTGAAAAATAACCAATCTCTCACTTTGGGGCTTTTTACCCGTGAATCTTCACTTTGCGACTAAACTATTCACAGCAGTGCCAATTTTTTTGGGTCACTGAATGTGGGTGCCAGCGCCCTACAAGCAAACCAAAAATCAAATCAATGCGGGTACTGACATTACAGCTGGGTCATGTTATAGAGAGGTACATTGAAATTCAAAGGTCAGCACAAATGGTCAAAATCCGACATTTTCTCACCTTCCTGCCCGTTCACAGCTCAGAAAATGACAATGACCAGCCTCATCTCGTCGTGCAGCTGGACATAGACAAGTGCACCAAGAAAAAGAGCCACATTTCTCTAAAGAACTTGCCCAGGGCTGCTGAAAGCTGAAAAATAACCAATCTCACAGTTTGGGGCTTTTTACCCGTGAATCTTCACTTTGCGACTAAACTATTCACAGCAGTGCCACATTTGTGGGGTCACTGAATGTGGGTTCCAGCGCCCTACAAGCAAACCAAAAATCAAATCAATGCGACCACTGACATTACAGCTGGGTCATGTTATAGAGAGGTACATTGAAATTCAAAGGGCAGCGCAATTGGTCAAAATCCGACATTTTCTCACCTTCCTGCCCGTTCACAGCTCAGAAAATGACAACGACCAGCCTCATCTCGTTGTGCCGCTGGACATAGACAAGTGCACCAAGAAAAAGAGCCACATTTCTCTAAAGAATTTGCCCAGGGCTGCTGAAAGCTGAAAAATAACCAATCTCACAGTTTGGGGCTTTTTACCCGTGAATCTTCACTTTGCGACTAAACTATTCACAGCAGTGCCACATTTTCCGCGTCACTGAATGTGGGTGCCAGCGCCCTACAAGCAAACCAAAAGTCAAATCAATGCGACCACTGACATTACAGCTGGGTCATGTTATAGAGAGGTACATTGAAATTCAAAGGTCAGCACAAATGGTCAAAATCCGACATTTTCTCACCTTCCTGCCCGTTCACAGCCCAGAAAATGACAATGACCAGCCTCATCTCGTTGTGCAGCTGGACATAGACAAGTGCACCAAGAAAAAGAGCCACATTTCTCTAAAGAACTTGCCCAGCGCTGCTGAAAGCTGAAAAATAACCAATCTCACAGTTTGGGGCTTTTTACCCGTGAATCTTCACTTTGCGACTAAACTATTCACAGCAGTGCCAATTTTTTTGGGTCACTGAATGTGGGTGCCAGCGCCCTACAAGCAAACCAAAAATCAAATCAATGCGACCACTGACATTACAGCTGGGTCATGTTATAGAGAGGTACATTGAAATTCAAAGGTCAGCACAAATGGTCAAAATCCGACATTTTCTCACCTTCCTGCCCGTTCACAGCCCAGAAAATGACAATGACTAGCCTCATCTCGTTGTGCCGCTGGACATAGACAAGTGCACCAAGAAAAGAAGCCACATTTCTCTAAAGAATTTGCCCAGGGCTGCTGAAAGCTGAAAAATAACCAATCTCTCACTTTGGGGCTTTTTACCCGTGAATCTTCACTTTGCGACTAAACTATTCACAGCAGTGCCAAATTTTTTGGGTCACTGAATGTGG